CTGGGACTTACCGCCCAGCAGATCCTCTATTCAGCTAACTACAGGAAAGGTCCTCACCGGCCTTTTTCGCACATAGTTTTGCTTAACCAAAACAGCTTTCGCATACGCTGCCCACACTCATCGGAATTCCGTGCGGAAAAACCCTGCTTCATATAGGGGATGATCTGCAAGCTTGTCTGTGGCGTAGGGTTTTGCGTGAAACATTTGTCGCCTTCGTTCCTCGATGAGGTATTTTAACTCGCCTGTTCCCATCCATTTGGCCATGGCTGTCCTTTCGGGCCAACTTTGCATTGCAAATGGTGGGTGGGCATTGAGAGAATCTGACGCATGGGAGAGATTGGCACATGCCTGTTGTTTCGCAGGGGCCGATACGAAAGGCGCTCTGTTGGCCAGTAGGTGACACATGCCAACAGGGTGGACGTCGTATATCCATTCACTCATTCATTCATTCGTGCAGCGTTTTGCAAGACGTCCGACGAGTGCAGGGGTGCCGTTGGGGAGCGGTGCTACAGGCTTGTGGGGGACGACGGACAGCTCCTGTTCGGCAGCGGGGACGGCGTCTGCCGGGTGAGTGGGTGAGACATGCATGACTAGCTGCGTGTTGAAACGCATCGATTTTGTGTATGTGTGTACTGTCTGTATGCAGACGGCGGGCATCCTCAAGGACCAATGGTGGGCCACCAAGCCATGCATGGATGGGCACAATGCATGTGTGAAATCAATGCAGCGACCCCCCCTCGATGCCGTGCGGTATGGGTCTCACTTGCCAGGATACCCGAGGGCCGCTCAACAGATGTCTTGGGGGATGAGAAAGGGGGACAGGGGAGGGAGAGAGAATCACGTGCAATCATGAAGGGACAACTGACGGGTCTATGAAGCTCAGAAAGTGACTGACCACCCGAGTGTCTGTCCGTCTCTCTCTCTGCCTGTCCTGCTGTCATCGAAGAGACGAATCGCATCCAGAATACACACAACACACATCGACACACAACACAGATCGACACACACAACACACAACACCACAACAGAAGGGTCTGCTCACAACTAGCAGACCCTGCCGCAGTCCCGCCCCTCCCTCCCCTCTCTCTGCTCTTGTTGTCTTCGTTGTGCTCGTGCGGCGTCTTGCCGCGATGTGTGCTTGCTCAGCAAAGGTGTCTTAATCCGCTCGTGGAACTTTACACACACACACACACATAGACAGAGGGGGGGAAGAGAGAGAGACATGGGGATATGGTTGCTGTGCGGTCGGCTGGGCGGCTGACGGACGTACCATCAGGAAGGCGTCAGTCATCCAAAATTGGAAAGAGTTGGTGACCAGCGGCAGAATCACCATCACAACCATCAGCTGCACAGCTCACCAATACACACACACACACACACACACACACATTCACGCCGATGGATACACACATGGAAGCTGGCGCACTGTTGTTTTTGGGAAAGATGAGAAGGGCCACAGCAGAGTGCCAGCAATCCATATGAGAGGGCGGGCGAATATGAGCAAGAAGATCATGGTGATGACCTTCATCCCGCACTGGATCAGCAGCCAGATCCCCACCTGCAGGCAACGCAGACCCAGGCGGATGCTGCACAGGTGCGTGTCTCTCTCTATAAGTTACCTGCTCCCAGTAAGCGCGCCAGTTGACCTCTTTGAAGCAGAAATCGGTGTCGTCCTGATGCTCGCCGCCTGTATAGTTGCCTGACTGGTAGCGGAAGACCTGGCCAGACCAGGGAAAGACAGAGAGAGAGAGATGTATACGTCTCTGCGTCTCTCTGTGTTCGCGTCTATGTGTGTATGGGTGGGTGCGTGCCTGTTGTGACAGCAGCAGCAGGTAATAGGAGACGAGCACCCCAAGTGTGCAATCCACCAGGACGTTGACCGCATACCTATCCCCCATGGCCGTACCACACACACACATCCATCCATCCACTCATCCACTCATCCATTCATCCAGCAGCGGACACCATCTGGTCTGTCTGCCCTTACCATTCGCAAGGGTCCCCTCGTGTCTTGAAGCCGCTGATAATGGACGCCACGATAATGTTGAGCACGTGCATAAATATCGCCCCTATCAGCTGCTTCGACGAGTCGAACCCAAACACAGCCAACCTGACATCCACACAGACATACCGACACCATCCGTCTCTCTCTCTCTCTCTCTCTCTCTCTGTGTGTGTGTGTGTGTGTGTCCCGCCTCATTTATATCAGCGGCTGGCTTACTTCCTCCTTGGTTCTTCATAGTACCACTTCAAGATGAGGGTGCTGAAGGACAGCACCCCCAGCAGGGCCTGCGTGAAGAGCCCGAAGAACCCAGGCATGAGCCGGCAGTTGAACTCATGCGGCGTCGGCGTGTGCTTATCCGACTGGCACTCGTGCAGCCGCAAGCTGAGTGCAAGACTGAGACCGTTCCCGTGACGCAGCTGCTGCAACACCATGGGGGCCGTCGGCATCACCAATCAATCACCGGATGGAACAACACTGCTGTCAGTGCAGAAGAGCTCGAGGAATGAAAGGCTTAGCGGGCTACTGTACGTGCAGGGGAGTGAGTGAAGACGTGGTGAGGGAAGAGAGCACGCGGCTGCGGACGAGGCTTCAGCAGAACTGAAAACTGAAGAGGGAGAGAGGAGCCTTCGTTTGAACAGCTTTTGCACTGAAGAGGAGAGCGGGAACCGACAAACCCCTTTCAGAAGCTGGAGGAGGATTGCGAGCTTAGAAATGAAGCACTCATCCACCAAACCTCCCACCAGACCTCCACCAGCATTAGCCAGATGGAGATCAGCACCGATCTGATGAATCTGGCATGCATCATTCTGGCGCTGCTGCCTCATGCTGCTGTGTGCGGCACCGCCCGTCCGCCTGCTGTCCGGAGTGTGCACCTCGATTGGCAGAAGGTGCAGTACAGCGTGCCGGCGTCCCACAGCAGAGAGAGCAACAGGTATGCATGGATGGATGGAGATCGGCACACGGATGGATACCCCGCGTGTGTTTCAGGACCATTCTGACAGATCTCTCAGGCCAGGCCTCACCGGGCAGCGTGCTGGCCATCATGGGACCGAGCGGCTCGGGTATGTATGCGCCTGCGCCTTCGCGTGCGAGTGCACTCATCCCTCTCCCTTTGTTTGTGGTGTGTGGTGTGTGGTTGTTGTCTGCAGGCAAGAGCACGCTGCTCGACATCCTTGCCGGTCAGCTGCCCAAGACCGATGGCGCCTCACTCACAGGCAATCAATCAAAGAGAGAGAATGCACACCCTGCACCCAAGCAGCATGGGCAGCACTCCGTCTGTGTGTGGGTGTGGGTGTGTGCAGGAAGCGTGACGTACAACAGCGAGTCGGTCAACGACCTCGCCAGCCGATACAGAAAGCCCAACTCGCCCCCACCGCCACTCGCATACGTGCGCCAAAGTGACCTCCTCTTTCCTCAGGTATGTCACGCGACTGCTCGTGTGCGTCGTGTGCATTCGTGTGTGTGTGTGTGTGTTTCTCCACAGCTGACGGCTCGTGAGACGTTGGGTACGGCGGCGTGCTTGCGGCTGAACCAGACGGTGCCGAAGCGGGTCAAGATGGGCGTGGCGGAGAACATCCTCAGGAAGCTGGGGCTCTTCAAATCTGGTATGTCTGCGGGCGCATGTGCGTGATACTCTGCGTGTGTGGGTGACGCTGTGGCTGTGTGCAGGTGATGTGTTGGTGGGCGACGAGAAGCAGCGGGGCCTCTCTGGTGGCGAGAAGAAGCGGCTCAACCTGGGTGTGGAGCTCGTCTCAAAGCCGTCTGTCATATTCGCAGACGAACCAACGTGAAAGCGCACGACACACGCACCCCCACACACAGAGAGAGAGAGGTGCACATGTGTGGCTGCGTTGGTGTGGTGTGTGCCAACCAACCAACCAACCAACAGGTCTGGCCTCGACTCGTTTCAAGCTGAGCAGGTGTTTGACACGCTCAAGCGGCTCGCCAGGGAGGGACACACCGTCGTGTGCTCCATCCACCAGGTATCGTATCACGGCACATACAAAGGTTTGACACGTGTGTGTGTGGATGGCTGGATGGCTGGATGCATTCAGCCGCGGAGCAGCACCTTCAACAAGTTCGATGACGTTCTGCTGCTGTGCGATGGCCATGAGATCTACAGAGGGCCCGCCAAGGACATCGTTAGGTACACACACACACACACACCGCACCCTCGCACCATCTCCCTCGCTCTGTCTGCGGGCACACGACCCACACACACAGGTATTTCGAGAGTCTGGGTATGGGTCTCAAGCTGCCGGCCAACTTCAACGTGGCGGAGTGGGTGATCGACCTGGCCAGCGTCGACTACTCCTCCGAAGCGGCGCAGCGCGAGAGCACCGAGAGGGTGCAGCAGCTCGTCAGAGCTTGGCAGGTACGTCAACGCAACGGAAACACATCACAGCACACATCTGGACATCTGAAAATCCGTGTGTGTGTGTGCCTTTGTGTCCACAGGACCGCCGTCCACGCACACACGCGCGAAGGGTCCCTCGTGCGGGGGCAGTGGGGACAGCGATGCCGCCCGCATTGGCCGACGGGCTGCGCATTCGGCTGCTGATGCGCAAGTGGATGGATCAGTTTGCGTAAGGCCGCCTTGGTGGGTGGGTGTGTGAATGCCAGCACGTCTGTATGGGTGGCTGTGTGTGTGCGCGTGCAGGCTGCTGTTCCGGCGTGCGTGGCGGAGCGTTGTGCGGGATAAGGCGACGCTCATAGCACGGTAGATCCATCCATCCATCTAACTATAGAGATCGGTGGTATCATCATCATCATCATGTGTGTGTGTGTGAAACTGATAGGCTATCGTCGACCATCAGCAGTGCTTTGGTGGAAGGAATGCTCTTCTATCGGCTGGGCGTCTCACAGCAGAACATACAGGCACACATAATAGCACAGACACACCTTGGTCCATCTCCATCTCTCTCTCTCTCTCTGTGTGTGTCTGTCTGTCTGTGTTGCCACAACAATCAGGACCGATTGGGCCTTCTGCAGGTCGCCTCCGTGAGCATCGCCATGACCTCAATCGTCAAGACTGTCGCCGCCTTCGCAAAGGTAGACACCTGGATGAAGATCCACACCGTCTCTCTCCCCCTCTCTCTCTCTCTCTCTCTGTCTGTCTGTGTGTGTGTGTGTGTGTGCAGGAGCGTCTGATAGTGCTGCGAGAGAAGGTTGCCAAGTCGTATTCGGTGGGTCCCTACTTCCTCAGCAAACTCGTCGCAGAGATACCCGGCAGTACCCACACACACACAACACATATTCCATTCCGCCACCCACCCCACCCAATCCCTCGTGTGTGTGCCACACCATGTTAAGGTGCGATCTTTCCCATCATCTTTGGCGCCATTCTCTACCCCCTCACAGGGCTCAATCCCAAAATCGGTGCGGGCGAGGGAGGGAGGGAGGGAGGGAGGGGGAGAGAGGGATGTCTGTCGCACCACGGGCGGGGACGGCTGTGTGTGGATGATGAGTGAAGGCCGTGTGCTGACGTTCCTGAGCCTGCTGACGCTCGAGGGCCTGGCGAGCTCAGCGCTGGGGCTCTTCCTGGGATCCTTCTCGCCATCGGTCGGTGCGCTTGTCTTGTTACGCCGGCTGTGCGTGAGTGAGGATGTGTGTGTATGTGTTGTGTTGTGTTGGGGGGGACGGGGGGGTTTAGGTTGAGTTTGCGTTGGCTCTGGCGCCGGCCGTCATGCTGATCTTCATTGTGCTGGGAGGTGGGTCACGTGTGGCCGCACACACACACATATGTGTCACCCATGTCGGTCGGTCACATGCAGGTCTGTTCATCAACGTGGACTCGGTGCCCTTCTTCCTCCGGTGGCTCGACCACGCTTCGCTCATCAAGGCAGGCATACAAGCATGACTGACACGCCCCATGACACACCACATCACACAGCCACGTCGGTCGGTCTCTGTTTGTCATGCGACAGATAACCTTCGAAGGTCTGTGTGTCAACGAGTTCACGGGGCTCTCCTTCCTCCCCGGCAGATCTGTCAGAGTGAGGAGTGACTTTGCCCCTCCACTGCACTGCACTGCCCCCGACACCACGACAGACACACACCGAGCCCCGGTGTGCTGTGTTTGTGGTCTTGTGTGGTGTAGGGTTCGGTGCTGACAGGCGAAGAGCAGCTGGACCGATTGGGGTTTGGCAAGAGCAAGATAAGCAAAGCACTGACCTCACAGGTACACACACACACACAAACAGGGAGAGAGAGACAGAGAGAGAAAGGCACACCGTCTGTGTGGGTGTGAGGGTGGTGTACAGGCGATGATCTTGTGTGTCTTGTACGGGCTGACCTACCTGAGCCTGGCGCTGCAGAACCCCTCATTCCAACGGATACGCTCGCCGTCTACCGAACCACCTCAGGTAACTGTGTGCGCGTGTTTGCACACTCTCTCTCTCTCGTGTGTGTGTGTGTGTGTGTTGACAGGCGGTGAAGAGTCCATTAGAGGAGGTGACGGTTGATGTGATCAGTGGCGGTGGTGGTGGTGGCGCAGGTGACGAGCAGCAAGACAGAGGCACCGACGTGCCCGTGCCGGCCGGCATAGAGTGACTAGATAGATTAGGTGGACTGACTGATGCGATTCTATGGATGATCTGGTTGGTTGAGGCGACGCGACTGACTCTTGTACAGCAGTGGTGGTGGTGTGAAATGGATTGAGAGACCGTACGCACCGCGCACCCGCATAGATAGACCTATATATATGGACCGACCGCACATAGGCAGGTCAGCCAGGCTAAACCTCTCTCTCGCTCTCTTCTCTCAGTCTGTTCCTTCGTCTGTCCGTCGCACAGGCACACACACAGCGCCAGTTAGTCTTCTAGTCTCACCGCCTGCCAGCCCGCCTGCCAGGAGCAGCAGCAGCAGCAGCAGCAGAGCTAATCTACATCTCCCATCCGCCGGCACCCCACACCCACACCAGACACACGCTCTTCATCATCGGTAGGTCGACACACTGATCATCGAGGAGAGAGAGAGGGGGAGAAAAATAGCAAAGGAACGAACGAACGAGTACGAACGAACAAGGAACCTGGGATGATAATGGAGGAGGACCGGTCAACGAACCAAACACCCTTTCTCTCTCGTGGCGGGTGTGTGATGTCATGACGCGTGTGTGTGTGTGTGTGTGTGCTGTGTGTGCTGTGTGTGGAGGGGGGAGGCCACGCCACACAGCGGAAAAACGAGGCACGAAGGCAGACAGCAAGGAGGCCAGCCAGGTGGGCAGCTTACACAGTCAGTATTCACGGCCAGCCTCTGTGTGTGTGTGTGTGTGTGCGTGTTATGTGTGTGTGTGTTGGTGAGTGCAAAGGAGAAATGGAGAAACGGAGAGAGAGGACAGAGGAGAGAGAGCTCAGCCGAAGAGAGAGAGAAGAACCATTCATTAAGAGAATCAGTGGCCCCCCCCCCCCCCCCCCCCCCC